GTCTTTTGTGTGAGTGAGAAGATCAGTGAACAGATCCTAGTAGATGGCGAGCCACCCAGATCTACATTGTCACTGAAACCGCTGGATGAATCTGCCTTGTGATAGGATCGTGCCAGTCACTCTGACTGGTCCCAGCTAGATCGAACACAAAAACCCTTAAAGAGTGCACACTGACTTCTCAGACTCTATCAGATCAAACCCTCACCTGATCTGAACTCAATGCTAAGGACAATTTATGTTATATTTTTAACAGGCTCAGTTTTTATTTTCCATATCAATGTGAAAGTAATGTAAGTTGAACTGCTTTGCTATTCATAAGCTTCACTAAAAGCTTCACTAAATAACTTGTGTTGTGTTTATAGTTATTACACTTGAAACTCAAAGCTCCTCCCGAACCTAGAGTAAAGTGTACTTACCCAGTAGTGGGTTACAAGTGCTTGATGATTAACTGTAGATTTGTCTCTACAAGTAAATCCCTTCCTATTACACACATTTAATTCATTCAAAATACTGATCAGTGCAGCTTTAAAGGAGTTTTTCTATTTTCTGTCACTTCTGATAACACAAAAATCGGAATGCTTGAAATCTTGTCTTTTTAGTGTACTTTGTAAATAATTTATTTATGAATTTATTTTTACATTGTTGTAGTAAAGCTTTGAATACCACCAATATTGCAGTACAAGGGTTTTTTACACGACTGTCTAACATCAAGGTCACATGTCCATCAAAAAAGACAGAGAAACATACATCCATACGCATTAACTCGCAGCCATGCCGATCAACACACACATGCGAACAGAGAACACACTCAAAGTCACTTGAGACACAATGCGTCGTCAGAACTGGGCCTGAGTCCCAAACCGCAGGGAGTCCTTCCAACAGCTTGGCTTATAGATGAAGGTTTCTGCGAGGAGACACATACGGAAATGCACACACTCGCGCTCACGCATGAAAACACAGCAGCACACACACAGCCTCCTGCTGCTGCTCCTGGCGAGCTATGAGACGTGGCCTGCTGACTAGAGAATAGCACAATTGTGTATTTGGGCCATCTGTTGCTGAGACTGATATAGCTATCACACACACACACGCACATACTCACACCACACACAGAAACAAATACTTTACACTACACCATACATGTGCAGATAGACACCTAAAACAGATTATGGTGATACTCAGGACACTTAAAACTATAATATGGAACATTTCCACATT